GACCTTTCTCTCTGTCTCTCACTGTCCACTCTGCCTGTCAAAAAAAAAAAAAAAGAGTGGATCAATCTCAGTCTTAACAGCAGGATGAGAGAGAGACTGTTTGCCCACGTTCTCACCAACAGTTTGTTATTTTTAGCATCCTATCACAGCAATTGGATATAAAAATAAATATGAAGAGATGGTTTCAGGCTTTGAGAAGGAACTTTCCTGAACTGTTTTTTTGTTTGTTTTTCTTTTTTTTTTGTTTGTTTGTTCATTTGTTTTGGTCTTGTTTAGTACCCAAGGCCAGGCTACTGCGCAGACCTTTCTGTGTGAGCATGGCAATTAATAATTGATATTCAGGGACCAAAGTTGTGACACAGCAGCTTAAGCCACTGCATGGGTCACCCACATCCCTATCAGAGTACTGGTTCAAGTCCAGGTATGCCACTTCTGATCTGGCTCCCTGCCAATGCACTTGGGAAGGCAGCAGATGATGGTCCAAGTGCTTGGGCCCCTGCCACCCAGGTGAGAGACCCGGATGGAGTTTCTGATTCCTGGCTTTCAGCCTGGCCCAGGCCCGGGTGTTGCGGGCATTTGAGGAGTGAACCAGCAAATAGAATATATTCTCTCTCTCTCTCTCTCTCTCTCTCTCTCTCTCTGTGTGTGTGTGTGTGTGTGTGTATTACTCTGCCTTTCAAATAAATAAATCAATCTTGTTTTAAAAAACCCTTTTCTTCACTTCACTAAAATAAGAAATTGATACCTAGCATACAGCTAAGAGAGTGTTGAGATATTTGTACCTTATTATCTTAGGATCAACTGTACAGTAGTCTGGGGAGAGACAGCTCTGAAGTCAAATTCCAGCTCCGACCCTTTTGAAGTGTGTAATCTTAGGCAAGTGACTCTAACTGTGCACGCCTCAGTGTTCTCATCTGTAAAGTGGAGAGAGTGGACATGTACACATCTGAGGAGGCACTTGTGAGCGGTCGTGCTAAGTTACAGCTCTGGTCTGAGATGAGCTGCAGCCCCTGAGGAGCCACATATTCTGTGAGGAGGAAATCGGGAAACCGAGCCCCACCCTCTCTGCCCCCTTTTTCCTGTCCCCAAGATCCCTGACAGGGGCAGGATTTCAGGGGTACCTGACTTGTAAAGGCTCCTTGCACCTCCTCACTGCCTCCTTCCCACCACACCAGGGAACCTGCATCCCTTAGAGATCAGCTCCTGTCATCCCTTGCAAAGGGGATATGGTTCCAGTGGAGGAAGAGCTGACTGGTCTCTCGCTGTTTGAAAGCACGGGGGGGTGTCTCTGCCATGTCGGGGGAGGGAGGGAGAGAACTTCCTCGGGGGACACACAAACCATGCATGGGGATGGGAGGTGGGTTAGTGTCACCCTGACCGAGGAGTCTACTTTGGCATTCAGCAAGTATTCCTTTATCACCCTGTCATCTTCAGCATTAAGCTCACAGGTACTTAAAAAAAAAAAGAAAGATTTTACTTATTTGGGAGGCAGAATTCCACCCATCTTCCATCCACTGATTCACTCCCCAAGTGGGAACAATGGCCGGAGCCGCACTGATCCGAAGCCAGGAGCCAAGAGCTTCTTCTGGGTCTCCCAAGTGGCTGCAGGGGCCCAAAGACTTGGGCCATCTTCTACTGCTTTCCCAGGCCATAGCAGAGAGCTGGATCAGAAGTGGAGCAGCCGGGACTCAAACCGGTGTCCATATGGGATGCTGGCACTGCAGGTGCCACAGCTGGCCCCTACAGGCATTTCTTAATTGATCCTGCAGCCTGTCAGGCACCAGCCACAGTGTGGCACCTGGAGCCAGGCTGCCACATTGTCAGATTAGCACATCAGTGCTCTCTTCATGGCTTGGACAGCATTTTTCCCCTCAGCTCTTCCTTATGCAGCAGGAGGAAATCCTGTAGCAAGGGCCTGGCAGCTGCCATTCCTTAAGAGCCTGCAATGGCCCATCCCTGTGCTAATCACTCAGACACAGGCCACACCTGGGAAAGGCAGGGCTTCTCCAGGATTTCAGTTTCTCTCTCTCTCTCTCTCTCTCTCTCTCTCTCTCTCTCTTTTTGACAGGCAGAGTGGACAGTGAGAGAGAGACAGAGAGAAAGGTCTTCTGGTCTTCCTTTGCCGTTGCTTCACCCTCCAATGGCCGCCGCTCCGCGCTGATCCGAAGGCAGGAGCCAGGTGCTTCTGGTCTCCCATGGGGTGCAGGGCCCAAGCACTTGAGCCATCCTCCACTGCCCTCCCGGGCCACAGCAGAGAGCTGGCCTGGAAGAGGGGCAACCGGGACAGAATCCGGCGCCCCGACCAGGACTAGAACCCGGTGTGCCGGTGCTGCAAGGCAGAGGATTAGCCTAGTGAGCCGCCTGGATTTCAGTTTCTTTGTAAGTCACATGCAGATAATCACCGTTCCCTGCTGGGGCTGCACGTGCAGATGAAGAGTTAACAAGTGTAAGTACAGGATCCGGTGTCAGTCACTCCACGCTCCGACCTCTCACTCAACCACCAGCTCACTGAGTTTCTTTGCGGCCTGCTTCCCCATCTGAACAGTATGCTAAGAGTAATACCTATCTTATGGGGCTGATACGAGGATTAAAGGAACTAATGCATTTAAAGGGCTTTGGTCCAAGGTGCTTGTCACACCAGCTCTTGAAAAGAATAACAGTTGTGATGAGTTTTATTTTATTACTATCCTGGAAAGATCTGGAAGAAAAAAAAAAATTCAGTGAAGGAGGCTGAGAAGTGGGCACCAGAAAGGCCAAGGAGGGGCACAGTACTAGAGGGGTGCCATGGAAACCGAGCAAAGAGATGCCAGGAAGGCGGGGATGCGGTAAAAGGGCACTCACAGGCCAGTTTCTCCTGACAAGACAAAGGAACGATTTTTCTTTCTTAGCCACCGATAAGAATGAAGGTGGAAAGGAAGAAAATAGGGTCCTGGCTGCAAATGAGAATTCTTGAAAAGCCTTCTTTTGGCGAACCCCATTAGTCTGATCTGAATGCCCTGGTACCCAATTAGGGAGAATACATATTATTTGAATAAGAGAAAAAGCAGTATCACACACAATCAAATAAAAGTGTCAGGTTACATTCAGGTTGGCGAAATGAAAATTGAGGCTGTCTCCCAGTGTGCACAGCCAAGAGGAAGTTGACGAGGGAAGACAAAGGGAATGAATCACAGGACATGTTTTGCAAGCCCTGGGCTGTCCCCAATGTCCCTCCTACCTCCAGTGCAAAGGAAGGTGGTGGCATGATCAGAGTCCATGTATTTCTTCTTTCAGATTTCTGCTCTATCTGGTGCCAGGAAGAAATTGTAGTAGCATTATCTTTGTCTTTGGGCAAACCACTCAACAAGTGTTTAGAGTACAATTAGGAAAAGATGAGCAGGAAAGGGAACAAAATTCTACTGTGGGGCAGATGAGGAGGGTAGAAATCCTCCCAGGGTTGATCTAGGGAGGGGTAGGCAGGAATTAAGTGTCAGAATTGAGCTATGCGAGCTGGGAGATGTTGGGGGCCCTGTAGCTTTGGGGGCCTGAGTGGAGCTGCCGCTTGCTTGAGGATGGAGAAAGGGAGTCCCTTCAGTTCTAGAGAAATGGACGTTGCTGCCAGGAGCCCAGAGAGACCCAGAAGGGTGCAGAGAGTGGCCCTCCTGACTCTTTGCTCAGGACCCAGTTCTCAGCTAAAAGATCAGGGGCAGAGGAGCCCCCCACCCAGGCTCTTTCTGGCCATGAGGGTTAATTAGGAGGCTGAGCCTTAATTAAGGCTCGCACGGATGTGGGCCAGAGCACAGCAGGCTAAGCCTCCACACCACACACCCGCCACCAAGAGATGAGGATGGCTAGGCCGGGGGTGAGGGGTGGGGGTGTGAGCTGGTGAGAGCAGTTGTGTGAGGTCGTAAGTGGAAGTGGGGGCCCGTTTCTGCAGAGAGAAGCCCTGCAAGCCAGATAATGGGTGTGGCAGTGCAGGGACACCTCCTTCCATCCTTGGAGCCCCAGCCTGCATCCCTTTTGTCCCCACTGAGAGAGTCACCAACTGCTAGTATAACTAGGACTCTGGTAGCCCTCCCGGGGACCTTCAAGCTCTGTCATTCCTGGTACAGCACAGCTCTGAGTTCCCTAGGAAACCCTGCAGTCTCTAATTGCTAACAGGCTTGCTGTGGCTGTCAATCTAGATGGGAGTCCCCCTGGCCGTAGCGCCCTCCCCCCTCTCCCTGGCACAGCAACTCCCACTGCTGTGTGCACTGTCATCACAGCTCTCTGGAGCCTCTATGTCCAGCCTGGAAAATTCCTTCAGGGTCTCAGACCTCCAAGGTTGTTTCACTCTCCACCCTCTGCATCAATTGCAGTCCCATAGAGTCTTCAGTCACCTATGGCCTCTTTTCTCACCCTCCAGTATGAGACCAAGAGATGAGACAGGGCAGGTTCCTAGGGGCCAGTGTCTGGGAAGGTCTCTCTCTTCTTTCCCTCCACAGAGAACGCTCTCTTCTCTGCTAACATGATGTGTTCGCACTTTTTTATTTGAAAGACAGAGACTGAGATCTTCCCACCTCCTGTTCATTCGTGACCAGGCTGTTGTGACCAGGAGCAGCAGCAGCAGCAACGTACGGAACCTACCCACACCCAGGAAGAACTGCCCCTCCCCAACGTAAACAGGAATGGAGCCCCCAAAGTCCTGAGGTTGGACTATTACCTGGGCACCCGATTCCTCCACCCACCATCAGAGTCCTGTGGGTGTACAGAGAAGAAAGCCCTGGGGCATTGTCCGTGAGTAAGTGCCATAATGTAGCTCTATGAGCTGGGGGACAGATCAGTTGTGTTAAAGGGGCTGTGTCCCTTTACCTTTGGGAAATCTTTTGGCCCACTTTTTCTTCCATTTTCCTCATCTTCAAAGAGTGTAATAAAAAAAAAAACTGACCTCAGAGAATGATCTCCCCTTTATAGTTTTTGTATTATATTTTTTATTGCTTTTTCATTTACTTCTTCCTACAATAATACCAGAGACATTAAAATAGATGCTGATATATATTTATTGACATAGAAAGAAGGTCACAACATATATCATTTGGTGAAAAAATACAGAGTATAGAACAGCACTTATATTTGATCACTTCTATCTATGTATCTAACTGGGTATATAGGTATAGGGAAATATCTGGAAGGAGAGTCAGCAAAGGGAGTTTGGGTATAATCTGTACCTTTTGTACTTTTCTCTAGTATTTGAAGATTTAACAATGAGTTATACCACTTCCACAAAGATAATAATAAAGCCATCAAGGAAATGTGCACACACAGGAAAATAGACCCATAGGCAGTGGGGAGAAGGAGCAGGGACAGAGGTCAGCCATCCCTTTCCATTGTGCTGGTATTCAGACCCTTTCTCTCCTGCACCCCGAAAGAAAGTCATTCTGTGGATTAATTCATGCAAACAGAAGTTCCCTCCCTCCAGTTTTCCCATCATTGGACTGTGGATATAGGTAAGGGTGCATTTAAGGCAGGAGGCTAGCAGCTTACTGTAACTCAGAGGGGTCACTGTGTTCATCAGGTGCAACTCCTGACCCCTCCTCTTCTGCATGTGTCAGCTCCTGCAGGGTGATGATCAGGTTCTCGAAAACCTGGGCCTTGTTGCTCTCATTGTCACAGGTTTCTTTAGAGTGGCCCTCCTCGCCACAGTAGGAACAGCGGATCGTGCACTTCCGCTTCCTGGTTCTACGCACATCTCCAGGACCAGTATTCTTATGGCCAGAACCAACACTAGTGGAAGGCAACTGAAGCCCCGAAGTGTGGGGGGAATCAATGACCAGCACCTGATCCTGAGATCTGGCCCTGCCTCTGAGGGGAGGGTCCTCAGACTCCACCAGGATCACATCCTCATCTGAGTCATCCAGCGTATCATCTATCTCTATCACGTTGCAGCCGGTGCTGCTGATCACGATGGGGGAGGAGTCCTGAAATGCCACAGGGCTGGCTGCCCTCTCCACCATGGACTCAGATCTTTTGGGACGCTTCCGTCTAATGAACGTGTCATCCCAGTCCTCCTCCTCCCTTATCATCCTGATTAACTCCAGGAAATTGGGAAGATGCTCCTGCTCATTGGCATACATCCTGAGAAGACCTTTAAGCCTGAATCGCAGGTCCCTGTTCAGCTCAGCTCCAGCAAGGAGCTGGTGCAGGCGAATCTGGTTTGCATCTTTCTGAGCTAGGATGCCTGCCTGGATGGCATTCTGCAGCTGCACCTCTAAACGGATCACATAAAGGGAGGCTTTCTCCCCCTGCGCCTGCAGGGTGTTAAAAAATTTACCATGGGCAGTCACACTGCTTTCAGATTCGCCAAACACCAATTTCATGGCCCGCAAGAAATCCGCCACGCTTAGATTAGGATTGGCCGCCTGGAGCAGATGCATGACCTCCCGGGCAGGGCCCCTAAGGGTTTTCATCAAGCGCTTGAGTTTTTCCTCCTCGGACATATTCCAGTCTGGCAGGACCCCATTGACTTGGATCAGCCAGTTTTCAAAGGTTTCCTCCCCCTGGGCTGGCACCGCCCTTCCCGAGAACAGCTTCATGTTTTTCTCTGCCATGTGGGCCATTAAAGGACCGAGACTCCGCCCCAGGGACCTCAGCATGGAATGGGCCCAAGGCGGCAAGGGTGCATTCTGCCGCCGGCTGTTACCCACATGTGCAAGGATGCTAGCCATGACTGACTGACGACGACGACAGGGTATCTGAATATAACAAGATGCTCAGGCTTCCAGGAAAAACCGAATCTACAGGTGTGCGGGGGCAGGAGGGGGGCGGGGAGCTCTGCCTTCCTCTTTCCTCCGCGTTAGCTGTGAAAAAAGAAAAAGGTGGCGGGCGGTTAGTAGGGGAGCAGGCTGCGGTTGCATTCTCTCCCTACCTGAAAATCCTGCAGTATATTTCTCATTTTCCCACCGCCCTGAAGTTACCCTGCAGGAGACTGAAATTAGTCTCCTGGAGCCGGCCGCGTGCAGGCATGGTGCTCTTCGCGACGACATCCATCCCTTCCCACCAGTCCTTCAAGAGGGATGGCAACTGTTGCTTCCCATTCCAGAGCCAATAGTGGGCTCTCAAAATGGGGTACGGTGGTCCCAGGTGTATGAGAATAAAATAGTACCATATTAACTTCGTGATCTCTGGTCTCAACCATACCCCCTTCCCAGAGCCTCTCCCTTCACCCCCCCCCGCCCCCGCAGTTGTTTGCAGGATTTCTTACAGGAGATCGCAAATAAGAGTGTGCCTTGATTTCAGTTCCAGCCTCTCCAACCGGTGGCCTCCGTGAGAAAGCTTGCCTGGGGATATGGTGGACCTCAGTCCACTGGGGGTCACAGATTCAGAGCCACGGGGCGTCAAAACTGCGCCACAGCGGAGGAGGAGAGGGAGGGAGAGAAGGGTCAGAAGCGGCCTCACTCGTCATCCTACCACCCACCCACAACCCCCCCCCCCCCCCCCCCCGCCTCTGTTGCCTAGCGGAAAATTCCCTCTCCCACCTGCGGAATACAAGCCAAACGCCCCACCCCCACCCTCATTACATTTCCCCCCACCCCACCCCACCCCCGGAAACCGATGGCCTACCAGCTCTGCAACCTGCCGCATAGAATTCAACCTCGGATTCAGCTTGGCTGGGTTGCTACGGAGAAAGAGAACACGAGTTAAACACACCCGCTCATCTCTTCCCTCTCGGGAAGAGATTAAAAGATGCAAAGGGGATTCAATTCAAGACACACAATTTGTTTATGCCCCACCGCCCTTCCCCACCCGCAATCGAGGTAAATCCTACCCAGTGGGCAGTACCCAGGTGAACCCCACCTCCTCCCTCGGTGCAGCCGGCCCATGGGAGTTCTCTCCCCAGCTTCGCAGTTACCGATTCTCCACGATGGGAGCCGCCCAGTCCAGGCGGCACTTCTCCCTCCCCTCTCGCGCTAGGCAATCCCGGAGCCCGCTTTTCTTTACCTGCGCTCTGCTGGTGGGCAGCGGGTGCTCCGCTTTTTTACTGGATGGATCCCTCTTGCAGATCTCCGCGGCCGCGCATGGGAAAAGGACTAGCGGCTCCTCGGCCACTAAGCGACCCGGAGTTGCCCGCCCGAGCTGCTTCGCAGGGCAGCCCGGCAAGGGGTAGCCGAATTGAGGCAGCGCGGTTCCCAAGGCAGCGGCTGCTGCTTTTATCCTCTGCCCGCTGAGACAAAAGAGCTTGACAAGTGGGCCAACGCGGCCAATCAGCGGATCGTGGAGGCGGGCTCGCGGCACAGCCTGGGCCCCAGGCAAATCCTCTGGCGGGGGGGGGGGGGGGGGAGGTGAGGGGGGAACACCGGCGCAACAAGCCCTCCAGGCGTCAAGCGCAGCTGAGCCGATTTGCGTTTTACACAAGCTAGCATTTGCGACTCTTTCTCCTTCTCCCCCCTTTCCCTTCTCCCTCTCCATTTTCTCCCTTGGCACAACTCTGTGTCTCGAGGCCAGGTACACTAAACACGAGGTGGGACCGAAATAAACTGAACAATAAAAGTTCTTCACCTTGGTACATAGAGGGAAGCGGGATGAGGAGGGAGGCATCAGCTCTTTCCTTGTGCAAATAGGTTTGCATAGACATCTCTTTTAGGAGTGTAGGAGGTGGCAGTATGCCCATTTAATAGAGAGGGCACTTGGAACACCAAGGCTCTTAACCAATCCTCACTCAATAGGTGCAAAGCTCTCTACATCAGAATTATTTTGGGGAGCTTGTTAGAAATGCAGATTTCTGGGGCCGGCACTGTGGTGTAGTGGGTAAAGCCTCAGCCTCCAGTGCTGGCATCCCACATGGGCGCAGGTTGGAGTCTCAGCTGCTCCTCTTCCAATCCAGCTCTCTGCTATGGTCTGGGAAAGCAGCAGAAGATGGCTCAAGTGCTTGGGCCCCTGCACCCCAGTGGAAGACCCAGATGAAGCTCTTGGTTCCTGTCTTTGGATTGGCCCAGCTCTGGCCTTTTGCGGCCATTTAGTGACTGAACCAGTGGATGGAAGACCTCTTTTTCTCTCTGTCTCTGCCTCCACCTCTCTGTAACTGTGCCTTTCAAATAAATAAATAAATCTTAAAAAAAAGATATGCAGATTCCTGGACCCTGTCTCTGCAGATGTATGGTACTTTTTTATGATTTCAACCAATGATGCAATTGATTCTGTGGTGTTAGGACTATGAGGACGTCCTCCAGTGCATCTGTCCACAGTATATCTTGTGCTGAAATGCAGCTCCAAAAGAGAAAGTCCTACAAGAGGTCCACAGTTGTATGCAAATATTTGGGACCCCAAAGGAGGCTGAAACTGATGGTCACTCAGATGCATCAATTCGTAATTCCTGGAATCTGTAAATGTTACCTTATCAAATAAAAGAGTCTTTGCAGATGTGATGAAGCTAAGAATCTCAGCCTGGGGAGATTATCCTGGTGGACCCTAAATCCAACCACAAGCATCCTTAAGAAAGAGGTAGAGGGGGAGAGCAGATGCATGCAGAAGAGAAGGCAATGTGAAGACAGAGACAGAGATTGGAATGATGCGACTATAAGCAAAAGAATGCCTGCATCCATAGAAACTGGAAGAGGCAAGGGATGCAGGGGCAGGAAACTTTTTTCTGCCAAGGGTCATCAGAATATTTATAACATCATTTGTGGGCCATGCAAAATTGTCTACTTAAAATGCAGCTTACTAAATTGTTGAACTCTACTTACTACAGAGTTGGTCTTCTGTGAATAAAGTTAATTGAAAATAGATCTTAGTAGAGAATAGGACTGGGAATAAGAGAGAGAGGAGGAAGAGGGGTGGGAGTGTGGGTGGGAGGGCAGGTATGGTGGGAAGAATGACTATATTCCTAAAATTGTACCTGTGAAATTCATGAACTTTGTATTCCTTAAATAAAAGGTTTCTTTGGGGAAAAAAACTATTGAATTTTGAGTCCCACCTGAGGTTGCCTTGGCAGGGCCAGACCAAATAGTTTGCGGGCTTAAAAGGCCCATGGGCCAAAAGTTCCCCACTTCTGCAATAGAGTATGGTCCATCTGACACCTAGAATTCAGCCCAGAGAAACTGATATTAAACTCTGGGCTTCCAGAACTGTAAGAAGATAAGTTGGGGATAATTTGTTATTTTAAAGAAGTATTTATTTATTTGAGAGGCATAGTTACAGAGAGAGAGAGGGAGAGAGAGGTCTTCCATTAGCTGGTTCACTCCCCAAATGGCCACTATGGCCAGAGCTGAGACAATCCGAAGCCAGGAGCCTGGAGCTTCTTCCAGTCTCCCACGTGGGTGCAGGGGCATAAGCACTTGGGCCACCCTCTGCTGCTTTCCCAGGCACATTAGCAGGGAGCTGTCTTGGAAGTGGAGCAGCTGGGACTCAAATCAGTGCCGCAGGTGGAGGCTTAACCTTCTAAGCCACAGCACCCGCCCCCATGGCAATGTCTTAATCCATGCGCATTACTATAACAAAATACCATAGACTGGGTGGTTTATAAATAACAAATTTATTTCTCACAGTTTTAGAGGCTAAGAAATCCAAGATCAAGATGGCTGGCAGATGTGGTGTCTGCTGAGGTGCTGTTTCCCAGTTCAAAGATGGTGCCTTCTAGGGGCTGGTGTTGTAGCATAGCCAGTTAAGCTGCCACCTATGAAGCCAGCATCCCCTATGAGTGCCAGTTCCAATCTGGCTTCTCTACTTCCTATCCAGGTCCTTGCCGATGCACCTGGGAAGGCTCTGGGGGATAGCAGAATGGAGTTCCTGGAACTGGAGTTCCACACTCCTGGCTTCAGCCTAGCCCAGCCATGGCCATTGTGGCCATTTTGAGTGTGAACCAGCGGATGGAAGATCTTCCCCTCTCTCTCAGTCTCTTCCCCCCCTCTCTGTAACTTTGCCTTTGAAACAAGTAAGTCTTTAAAAAAAAAAAAAAGATGGTGCCTTCTCAACATTGCTTCACATGTTGGAAGTGTAAGTTAGCCCTCATGACCTACTCATCTGCTAAATGTTCCACCCTCTACTTTCCTTGGAGGTTAGAATGTTGGCGTACAAATTTGAGGGAACACAAACTTTCAGGCCATCGCAGGCAGCCATAGGAAACTAAAATAAACTCTGTATATTTTTCCAAGACCGTTTTGCAGCTTTTAAATGGATCAGTGGTTCAATAATGGTTAAAAACAACACCTCTCCAATCTTTCTTCATTGATATTGTTCTCCTTCAATCTGTGCTTGAAGTGTGTGAAATGAGATGCAATTTGACTAGATCCCTGCCAGATAGTTCTCTGCTGCTGATACTGTTCTTCCACTTTTTGACTTCAGGATAGGTAGCTTAGTTGCTCTTCTAGGAGCTCTTGAAGGCACTTCTCCTTCGCTGGATTTTGCATTACTGGCCCCAGAGAAGCAGCAGCTCCACGGAAATGACATGCAGATGTATGCAGAACAAATGCACCATGCAGCAGCTCTATGCCTTAGTTTGATAGGACTACCACGACAATATACCACAGGCCAGGTGGCTTAAAGAGCAGAAATGTATTTCCCTATGGCTTTGGAGTTACAGTTCTGGAGGCCAGAGGTCCAAGATCAAGGTGCCAGCAAGGTTGGTTTCTTCTGAGTCCTCTCTCCTCGGTTTGCACATGGTTACCCTCTTCCTACTTCTTCCCATGGCCATTCCCTCTGTGCATCTAATGATGTATCTCAATGTGTCCAAATGTGTTCTCTCTCTCTCTCTCTCTCTCTGGTTGGCAGATGATAGCATATTGAACATTTTCCTTTATACTTCTCAAGCTGGGCATTCCGAGGCATGATGGTTGATGTCATGAAGGCAGCGGTTATGAACACTGCAGCCCACAGACTGGAGAGTGACCAGAAGCTCTTTAATGTTTCCAGAGTTCTATGGATAAAGATCAGTGGTCCATCTGCCAGGCAATATTGACAATCTCATCACAAGTGATATTTCTACCGTGTTGAATATTTTTTTCTGTTGCTTTCTCTTGGTGGTTACCTGGGAGCTTCGATGGTCAGGGCAGTGGCAGAAGATACCATCTAAATCTGGGTCTGTGTGCTCTTAATGGTCAGTTTTACTGAAATCCTCAGACCCTTCTACTCTCTGGTTGCCTTTAAATACATTTTTTTGGAGACAGACCCAGGGGAGCTGATCTTGGAGGCCAGGGCAGACTTGGCACTGATCTTGCTTCCCAGTGCACCTCAGGCATGTGACTTTGATTTCATTGAGTTTGACCTTGAATGGCATGGTGGAGGCTGCCTGTGTTGGATGAACCCAAATCTGGGACAAATGAAGAATGTTGCACCTTGAACTCCTCCAAGCTGAACACCAAAAATCAAATTTCTTCTTCTTACAAGGATAAGGACCCACCCAGAGGGTCTCATTTTAACTTCATCATCTCTTTAAAGGCCTTACCTCCAAATATAATCACATTCTAGATGCTAGCAGGACTTCAACTTATGAATTGGTGGGTTGGGGAGACAATTCGGCTCACAACATTCCATTTTCTCTTCTGGTTCAGGGAAGCTTATCATCTATGTGAAGTGTGGCAAGGAGGTTCCTGGAGCGTTGGGGGCCGAGGGTGTTGGTGGCTTGCACTGCACGGGATGGACTGCTGCAGGGCAAGAGAGTTGCTGTTGCTTCTTCTTGACTCTTGCTGCTTAGAAACAGGGGAACAGTGCGTTGCCCTTCGGTTGCTATAGGGTTCACCCTCAGCCTGCCAAGGAACTACTTCACTTGCTTCTTTCTCATTTCTTATTTCCAACCCCAATAACTAGAAGTCCTTGGCATAAACAACCCAGATCTGGAGACAAAGCACCTTCATCTCAGGATTGTGGCCTTTCTTTTGTGGATAGAACAGCAGGATGGTGGTGGGGGCACAGGGAAGGCAGGTTGCTCACTTTGCACAGTAGGGTAATGCTGGTGGTAGCTTATGAGTTTTCTTCAGACTCTTGTTTCTGCTCTTCACTATATCACATCTGATGCTGGTCTCCAAGCAGACTCTTGATCTACATTTACACTGGCTTCATCACCAAATCAGATGATCTTCAGTAGTTGAACCTGGTTGCATCAACACACACACACACACACACACACACACACACTGGGAGAGCTCTAACAAAAAAATGTTGATTGTGTATGATTGTGTAAAGGTGCCTGAGTTGGGTCATCAGAACGAAGTGAGGGTCTTTTTTTAAAGATTTTATTTATTTAT